TTATCAGGTGGTCCTACTGCCTGCATAGTGCTTACCATCATCTCTAATTACCTTATTTATGTGTCTCTTTCCTTGTTTATTGCCTGTCTATATTCACTAGATTTCAAGCATAAATGAAAGAAAAGAACTTTTTTTTTGTATGTTTGTTTTATTTTTTTTAACTCAGCGTCATAAGCACTTAGGACAATGCTGGAGATTGTCAGACATTAGACATGAATTTGCTGAATGAATGAATGAATGAATGAACTGCTAGTAGAACCAGATATCTCACTAACCATGAAAAAAATATTCAGACCCCTAGTTCTTACTAATAAACATTAGATTAGATTTAAAACAGAATAGAATCGGTCCTTTTCTAAAAACCACACTAAGCATTTTCCAAGGATCATAAGTACTACATGTCCCTGATACAAACCCATTAAATACAAATATCTGAAATGCAATGAGATCAATTTGCAGAATGAGTTTTGAGGAGTTTTGTGAACTCACTATCCAGTGGAACTGGTGAAAATTATTAGACATGGCCATGTAAAGCCTCTGGAAATGGTCCTAAGAGTATATAGCAAATGAAGAAACCATCTGCCCCCCCCAAAAAAAAATCCATGAAAATTTTGTAAGAAAACTGAGAATCTGTGGTATTTGTAACAAAACCACTCCCTTGATCCCCATTCCAAGCTCAGTGGGACTTCACTCCAGACTGGTACAGCCAAGAACATAGTGAATAAGGAACAGGTAGGGCTAGGTAGGAAGAGATAGGTGGGGTGCTACATGATCAGACTCACCAAAAAAATCCCAGAAATGCTGAGGTGTAATGAAACCAGAGATGAGGGAACAAACCAGACCATCCTGCCCTGGGCATCAGAGATGGGGTCTTTTTATGGCAGTCCCATTGTGACCAACAAAGAATAACCAGACCCCAAAGAAGTAAGCCATTAAAGATGTTATCACTAGTCCTTACTCAAACCAAGACATCACAAAAGTGATACGGCCATAAGCTCCTCAGTCAGTTCTAAATAAAAGACTTTTCAGGGAAGGCCCCCGCTGGCAATTCTGTCGGGAACCCTCTCACTTCTAGGAGCTTTTTCTGTATCCTTGCTTAATAAAACTCTATCCCTTTACTCTCCTTTGTCAGAGAGATTCATTCTTTGACACCATGAGACAAGAACCTTGCTCTCCCACTTCAATAGGACTCCCACCCCAGCTTCCACATGGAGGGCTTTCTTCCCAGGAGAAGCAAGAAATCTACATTTCTCATCCTGTCTCCATTGACCTGCTCAGTCCCAGGGGAGTGTGAGCTAGAGGTGGAGGCTCCCTTCTGCTTATCCCATTTGTGGAATAAGGCTCTGGGTTGGGTGTGTAGTGCTGAGAATCCCAGGGCCCTGGCATTAGGAGTTAGTTAGACAGTTAGGTAGTCAGAGCCAGGGTCTTTGACAAGAAAATATGGAGTTAGGATAGCTAAGATAAAACAGCACTAGCATCCTGTTTTGCAGCCCAGACAGGACCACTCTAGTACTCTGTTTTGCAGCGTTTGCAGAAACAAATTCTGCAAAACATCTTAAAATAAGGCAATTAACCAAAGCATTTGTCAATATCCCAGGCAAGGGGCAAGTAAGACATAACCTCCTGGGTATTAACAAAAGAGACAGATCATCAGCACATTGACATTAACCTACTAGGTAGACAGATACGTGACCAAAGCCCTGATTGGCATGACTTAGCACACCCGGATTGCTTAAAATAATTTCATAAAAACCCTGGACTTAACTCCAGAGATAACCCTTTTGGGACCCCCTTACTCTCTTGGAGCTTTATACTATTGCTCAATAAACTTTGCTGCCCACCATTCTTCATCTGGTCTATCTCTTCATTCTTCGAAGCAGCATGACCCAGGACTCTGGGTAGGCATCAAAGGAGAGGAAATCCTGCAACAGGTTCTGTGTGTTGAATATAAAAAAATCTTAGACTTTGGTAGGTAAATAGTTCACATTCTTCTGCTGAGATTTCTGCACTGTGTTTCTCAGAATGAAAACTGAATTCTATGAATTCCTCAAAATCTTTTGGGGAAATGCAATGTTTAAAACATATAACACACGTGCTGAGCACCTCTTATAAGACAAGAACTGTGCAAGATCACTTAGACATACTATCTCAATTAATCCTTTCGGCTACCCTGTGATATAGGTCCTGTTAGGATCAACTCATTTTTATGGGTAAGCAATCCAAATTTTGAAGTTAAGTAAATTTTTCAATGACATGCAGTTGGTAAGTGGTAGAACCAAAATTCAGATCCTGAGAATCTCCTTCCAAAGCCCTAGGACTTCTTAGAGCCTTTACTATACTAGAATGTGTTGTGTAAAACAAAACGTATTAGAACTTCCCAGAAAAGAGTCTACATCATCGACCACAGAACTCTATATGCTATGTATCTAGCTGGACTTTGAAGTGTTAGTGTCCTGAGTAACACACTTGGGTTCCCTCTGACATTCCCACCTTTGAAGCTCTAATTCTTCTAGCTAATTCCTACTGCCCCTCAAAACTTCACCTCATCCCCAAGGTAGCTTTTCCAGATCTCCAAGCCTGATTTTGGTGTCCCCTTCTATGATTTCATATTGCTGTATGCAGTGATTCCCAACAAGGGGCAAAAATGCACCATCCTCAGGGGACATTTGGCAATGAATGGAGATAGTTTTGGTTGTCATAACTGGTGCAGGGGCAGGGTGCTAGTGGTATTCGATGAGTAGAGGGCAAAGATATTCTGAGTATCCTCTAATGCATAGGAAACACTCCTTCCACCATAGCCAAGAATTAACCAGGCTAAAATGTCAAGAGTGCTGAGGCTGAGAGACCCTGCTCTCCGATGATTTCAGACACTGGCTTACAGACTTCCCGAATCTTGTATTTAGCTGTGTAGGTCCTTCACTCAACTGTCAGCTTCTTGACTAGAATTCAGGGCTTCTCAGAACGTATAAGTTACTGGCAGATTACAACATAAACTGTTGGAGGAAAGAGGTTAATGATAGGTTATAGCAGGTGCATTTGGGGGTGCTACCTACCCATAGTCCCCCATTCTTGAGCACTGCTGCATATTAAAGTGGCAGGCCCTGGCAGCCGTATTTATACTATTTGACTCTGCTGCTTTGTCTTAGATATTGGAACAGAAGCGGACACCAGTTCTCACCTCAACTCATCATATTTCCTCTCCAGGGAATTTAGAATTGCCACTAAAAAGGCACTAGTCAGTGTCTGCTGGTTACTTGAAATCTATAGAGCAGCCATCTTTGGCCATGGTGTGTGAAAACTCTGATCAGAGGAAGATGAATCCATGGGGAATGGGTACAGATGCAAGAAAATGTGGCATTCTGGGGACAATAACCATGGTTTCCAATGGCTTTCCACTTGCTGGCTCCACTGAGCCTGTGTGCATCTCTCTTACACATTCTTCTCCAGGGTTTTGTTCTTACAACCCTATCATAAACTCCCACTATTTTATTTTGGTCTGAGTGGTTTACACAGAACCAAAGATTAAGCTATAAATCGGGAAACATAGCCTTAATCTCTGAATCTTAAATACAAGGTTCTTCCTTCCCCGCAACTATGAGATTGAGGAGAAAAAAGGAAAGAGCGCCAGAGAGTCCATGGAAGGGATGTTAGAAGGCACCTTTATCATACCATTTTCAATGTTCTACAAAGGTATCTGGAAAGGCCATCCCTATTTTTAGATGATTGCCGAGAAAGAGTGACTAATGCCTGGGGGGCTTGCTTTAGACTCTAAACTATACAATGTTGCAGAGGCATGAGCTCCCCTCTGTAAATGAAAGGCATTAACAATTTACTTCAGTTTCAATACATCACAAGAGGCTCATGGATACAATTATTTGCTGAAGGGCACGTGACCTTGTTGGACCTGACATTTATTTTATCTTCCTTTGAAAACAGTTAAGATTGCACAATTGATATTTTGCACTTCTAATCTTTTGCTTCTTGGTGATTATTATAAAGAAATAATATTAATAAATGATTAAATCTGGATATTAGCTCAGAATAGACTGATTTTTTTTTTAAGTTAAGCAGAGAAATAGAACATTTCTCTGGCTGTCCAAAGGTTTCAGGGATATGGCCACGCAAATGGGAAGCACCCTAATCACCTCTAGCTTTGATGGCTGGGGGAGCACGAAGATGGCATTCCCAACTGCTGGTGCTAGCTCAGCCATCAAGTTTGGCTTGAGAACAAATTCTGTCCGTGGTGTGTTTTCCAATGCAAGGCTAGCCATTTCCCAGAAGTGGACCTACCCTCTGCTTGTTCTTTGACCTCCCTCCATAAATCTGGGATAGTTTTCTAGAGAAATAGCTTTTACATTCTCCCACCTATTGTGTCCTTGATTTACCCAGCACAAATGCCAAGTAACATTTACACGATGGATTAAGGACCCTCTGAGATCATCCCAGTTCTCTACAGCAAGACTGTGCATTTGTAAAAACTTGACTGTGTCCTTGTCGACAGCCTGCCGTTTCTTCTTTTTCTGTACTATCAAAACTCCACCCCATTATATCTCAAAATAATTTTTTCCTAGTCTATTTTCTTCAGTGATCCTCAACTCCAAAACACCTCTCTCCTTGGTGTTTGTTGAATTATGATTTTAAAAAAATCTTGTTTTCTTACAGCCCTTTATTTTAGGCGATAGATCTTCATTGGTGCAGAGTATACAAGGTGAGCCCTTGGTTTGGCAAGTCTTTCTTTTCTGCTCCCTAAACCTTTGGCGTCAGGATTAGATATGGAATAAAGAGTTTGAAACAGTTCATTAACCTGTAGTCAAACAATAATTTCAGATTCAAAAAGCTTTCTATCTGCATGAAAGGATTTGGTACATTGATTTAAAAAAAAGAATAGAAAAAAAATAAGATAATTCCTTGGATGTAGGGCCAATAATCAGAGTCCGAATTGCTTTGACTCACTGGAGAAAAATCCCATGCTAGCTCATTCACATTTTTTTTTCTTTCAGAAGCCTGTATTAGAATGTGGAAAAGCAGCAGGGGAAGGGAAAAAGTCTGTAATTTTAATGGGACTGCAGAGACCACTTTGAAACATGGAACATTTCCACGAGAACAAATATAATAGCTTCCACCTGATGTCATAGCTGCTTGTTCTCTTTAAGGATCCAAGCGTGTAGGTGAGTTTTCCTGACGTAGAATACGATCAGATCCTTTGGGACACTGAAGGATGTCTCTTGCAGGGCATGGGCAGCTCCCTGGTCTGGGCCTCTTCCTTGAGCTGGAACTTTGATTTCAGTGTTCCTTCTCTGAAGCCATGGCCCACTGCAGCCCAGCAGTGACTCAAGCAGATGGCTGCCTGTGACAAGCCTCTTCTGATTGGTAATAAAAGTACCAGAAGCTCCACTGCACTGTGTACAAATACGTGAAGCCATTGCAGATTCCTTTGTATCTCTAGATTCTATTTTGAGAGCGGGCTGATCTTTTCCATGCAGAACCCTCACAGAATGAGCAATCATGCCAGGTGGGTGTTGGAAGCACTACTGCAGTTTGTGAAAGTCAAGGGTTTTTGTTTTGTTTTGTTTTTTGTTTTGTTTTTATCAGCCTTCAAAAACATACTCTCACCTTCTAGGATTTCTGACCCCACTGCCCATGATTTGTGGCAGGCGGAGGAGAGAATTTTGATTTTCTTATACACAAACCATCAGACGCACTTCCAAATGAAAGACCGACTCAAATTATATTGCCCCTCACTTCCCAGAAGAGATGCTGCTGTGAACAAAACTATGGGAAAATGTAGAACGGGGGATGGGAGGAGAAGTTGGGGTAGAATCTAAAGGCCCAGTAAGCCACTCCCTGGGTAATAAGTCCAGGAACGTTGAGAGTTGATTTTGAACTTAATTTGCTTAATTTATTGGAGCGATTCACAAACTTTCCATCATTAAATCACCTGGGGAGCTTTTATAAAAGTGCAGGTTCCCAGCGCCCACCCCCTGCCCCCCCAAAAGTTGGACAAATTTACACTGGAGCCAGGAAATCTGTTTTTTGGACAAGAAACCTAGGTGACTCTGACCTGCTATTGCTACGTTAAAATGTGATATTAATAAGTTTAAAAGTCACAGGTCCAACTGCAGCCCAAGTCAGCTAACTGCTAACTCTGTGGCCTCAATCCACCAATCATGAAGATTCTGGGTGGGAGCGTGAGAAGTACTGGGGTGGAGGGAAAAGATAACGGATAAAGGATCAGAAGGTCCTGTTTCCAGTCCTCACCCCATCATTTATTAGCCATGTGACCTTGGGCAAATTTCATTGGAAGGCTTAGTGCCCCATCTGTAGAATGGGACCCATAATTCATGCCTTGCTTACCTCATCGGTTCATGAGGATCAAATGAGAAATTACTATGTGAAACATTACATGTTAGAAGTCACAATATTTTCAGAGAGGTAGTATTTTCCCTCTTCAGTCTAATGATAGCATACTCACACTCAGCAGCCCCAGATCCAAGTGCCTGTGCTTGATGAACCAGGAGAATCCTGATATACCATAAGGGCTGATTCCAAACTTAGTTGTCTTGACCTGGAAAGAATGGTCAGCTGCATGCTGAAAAAAGGAAGATTCTGAGGCTCCATCCTGCATCAGTCCCTGGGAGTGTAGGTGGGAATTTTAATATTGCCAGAGACCATTCTTATATTAAAAGTGGGGAGTCACTGGGCATGGTCATAATGGAAGTTGGGGGCCTATGAGTGGCATGCACAGGTCTCTTCCTACTTCCTGTGGCCCGGGGTGCCCCATCCTCTCCTTCATCTGCCCTGTCTACTCATTTTACCAGAGCCCCCCCCACCCCTCACCAACCGCCCCCCACCCCCCGCCCCGGCCCCGGCCACCAGTCCAGCTAGACACAACTGCAAGCTTCACCCTCCACTCTGAAATCCTCTCCCTTTATCAAAACTTGTTCCCTTTGTGCTGGTTTTCAAACTAATTATCTCCAAATCCAGTTCCCTAGAAGTTATCTGGTACAGGTTCTGGCACTCCCAAGGCTTTTGTTTCTCAACAATTTTTTTTGTATTTTATCATTTTAATCCAAGCATTCTGTCAAGGCTTTCCTAGAGCAGTTATAGCAGAGGAATATGGATCATCAGCACCAGGTCAGCCAGGATAATATTGGGAACAAGCGTCCCCACCCCCAGCCCACATAGCTGGTGAAAACCAAGCCAGCAGGTGTCTGTGGACCTGGACTCTATCGTCTCCCTTTTTCACTCCAATTCTCTGTTTTTCAAAACAAGGCAGCAGGGTGTTTCCGTTCTGTGTATGGAAAACCCCTTTCCCCCAGAGTTTAGTCATTTTATTACCCAGCTCCAGAGTGTGGCCTGCTGGACTGTGAGCTGAGACGGCTGCCATGGATTTCCTAATGCCTTCAGTTCCTCTCGCAAAGAGTTGGCAGTCACCGTCCTGGGCAGGGCCTGGCTCATGGAGCCCTGCTCTTCTGCTTACTGATTTCTGGTGGGACATGGGGCTCATCGGATCAAAATTCTCAAGGCTGATGTTTCCCTAAAGCACCATTAATGAAAACTCATTCATGAATACTGTGTTTTGATGAGGGCAGTGTGTCTTCAGCCAACATTTCTAAGGATTATTTTTGCTTGGTGTGAGGGATGATTTTTTTTTAACTTCTTTTGTTTAAATTGAGAGGAAAAATAAAAGGGACAGTAGATTAAGAAAAGATAAATACTGTAAGGTGAAGCAGAGGAAAAGACTAATTCTAGCTACCTCCAAGGGGCGATAGGAGGTGACAGGCTTCCTCAAGTTGGTGAAGCATCGAAGTCAGGCAGCTATGGCTGAAGGAATGCTGGGTAAAAGCAAAACTGAGAGAGTCCAGAACATAACTACTATCTTATGATATCCTAGGTCTTACAGATATACTCTCAGGAGTAATAGGAAGAAAAAGGCCTGCTGCATCTCATCAACATGTAGGAGAGGGGTCACAAACTGCCATCGGCCCTCTATTTTTAAACATAAAATTTAATTATAACAGAGCCATACCCATTCCTATATCTGCAGCTGCATTCATTCCATACAAACAGAGAAATTTTACCCAATAATATAATATTTGTTGTTTGGTCCTGTATGGAAATTGTCAACACCTGGTCTAGAATGCTATATCCTCTGTCCTCTAACTCATTACTTTATAAACTTTTCCCCTTAGGAATAGAATGCATTTTTTTGGTAAAGGATACATTTTTATAAGTTTTTTATTTAGGCGATCTCTACACCCAACATGGGGCTTGAACTCATCACCCTGAAATCAAGAATTGCATGCTCTTCCTACTAAGCCAGCCAGACACATCTGTAAAGAATATTTTAAATATGGAAGCTCATGAAAAAGTTAAGTGCAGAGCTAATAGGGGAGAGAGATTTCAGAGTCCACCAGCTCAGCTCAGCTTCCTCCTCGTCCTACCTCAGTGGTGTCTCTAGAACCCAGGATTCCATAAAATAGAAACTGAAAAATCACTCCAAGCCAAAGCAGTCTTGAGAAAGAAGGAAAAAAAAAAAACCCTAGAAGTATCACAATTCTAGATTTCAAGACATACTATAAAGCCGTGGTAATAAAGACAGTGTGGTACTGGCACAAAAATAGACACATAGATCAACAGAACAGAAAAGAGAGCCCAGAAATAGAGCCACACTTAACATGGTCAATTAATCTATGACAAAGGAGGCAAGAACATAGAATGTGGAAAAGATGGCTTCTTCAATAAATGTTGTTGGGAAAACTGAAGGGCTACATGCAAAAAGAATGAAACTGGACCACTTTCTAACACAACACACAAAAACAAACTTAAAATGAATTAAAAACCTAAGTGCAAGACCTGAAACCATGAAAATCTCAGAAAAGAACATAGGCAGTAATTTCTTTGACATCATTCATAGCAACATTTTTCTAGCATCCGCCAATAGATGAATGGATAAAAAAGATGTAATATATGTGTGGAATATTACTGAGCCAAGAAAAAGAATGAAATCTTGCCATTTGCAACAATATGGATAGACCTAGATGAGATGTCATGCTAAGTGAAATATGTCAGATTGAAAAACACAAAAGCCATATGATCTTACTCAAACGTGTAATCTGAAAAACAAATGAATAAACAAATAAAAAGCAGACTCAGACCTATAAATACAGAGAGCAAAGTGAAGGTTGCTAGAGGGAATGTGGGCAAAATGGGTGAAGGGGAGTGGGAGGTAACAGATTTCCAGATATGGAATGAATAAGTCATGGGAGTAAAAGGCACAACATAGGAAATATAATGAATAATATTGTAGTAGGATTGTATGGAGGCAGATGGTAGCTACACTTGTGGTGAGCATAGCATGAGGGATGGAGATCATGAGGAATCACTATGTTGTACAACTGAAACTAAGGTAACATTGTCAGCTATACTCACATTTAAAAAATAGTCAATAAATTAGTGCAGAGTACATGCTCTTGAAGGCAGGGAATCGCCTTGATTTCGTCTGTGTCTATTTAGTGTCCAACATGGAGAATACACTCAAGATAAGTATGAGGGATAAATCATGGAATGAAGTGCCCCTAGTCAAGAACCCCCCGCCTTGGACACTGTTAAGTCTCACTCTTCTACCTTTCATCTAAAGTCTCCCCAAGAATGATTTGTGCCCACTGTCTCCTCTTCCTATATCCTCATTACTGGTTTCTGATTTTAGCCCTACTGTTCTGTTGGAACTGTTGTCACCCAGGTCCCCAATGATATTCTCAACTACCACAGTTCATCGACATTATTCAGTTCCTGTCTTCAGGTAAGCCTTTGGGCATTTGACAATTTCTGAATCTTACCACCACCTGGGCTTCTCATTACACCATAATCGCCTGGTTGTTTTTGTTTCTGACCTTTGCTTCCCTGTCTGAGACGGGCTCCATTTTGTCTGCCCCTAAATGTTGGTGTCCTGTAAGCACTGGCATCGCACCAACGGAAATCAAAATGTTGAGTGCTCACAAGTCACCACTGAAGGTGCAGCCTCCTTCCTAAATTCCAGACTCACATACTGATCCCTTGTGAGACAGCCCCACCCGGTGCCCCAAACTCAACCTGTGCCAATCTGAATTTACTGTGGTCCTCCCAAGCTGCTTCCTCTTCAGAATTCTTGCACACACCTGATGACATTCTCACCCGGCCTGTTCTTTCAACTCCAACCTTGACACCTCGAATCAAACAGCAAACACCAAAGTCTACCCACTTTCTGATCTAAAGGCTTCTTGACTCTGTCCCTTTTCTCTATCTCTTATCACCTCTCTGGGATGGCTATAACCGTGTCCTAACCAGTCTCCTGAGGCCTACAGCATAACCCATTCTCCACTGTGAAACTCTGAGGATTATGTCACTCCTGCTCTCCCAGTGCTCACATACCTCCAAGTTCTCCATGGCATCTTCCTGCTCATGGCATAAAGACCAAAGACCATCAACGTGACTTACAAGGTGCTATAAGGGCTTGTCCCTTCCGTCTCTCTGAGCTCATCATGCACACTTTCCTTCACTCACTGCCTCTGAGTCATGCTGGTCTTTTAGTCAAACATGTCATGCTCCTTCCAACCAGAGAGGCTTAATCCACCTTTTCCCTTTGTCTGATATGGTCATCCCTAAATAACACCAAACACTGCTAAATCCAAACTGAATCTGGGGTGCTGTTCTCCTTGACCACATCAAATGCAGCCACCATGGGATTTCAGGGCATCATGAATGTCTTCCTCCTAACTCTTGTACTTGTCTGGTACTTTTACAGTTGTTCTTAGAATTATTACTCAATATATATCTCCGGTTACTAGATTCTCATCTCCAAGCAAGGAGGAACAAAGTCTGCTTTTGCTCCTCCACATACCCCAGGGGCTACCCTAGCACTGCATGTCTATAGCCTCTAGCTCAGGGCTGGTGCCTGAAAGTGCAAATGATTGTTGAGTGAATAAAAGTGTTCCCTTTTCTAGATTCCTTCCCCTGAAATCTATCCTGAACGCATTCTATCCACAAGATCTTATTCCTACTTGCCCTTAAATGATTCCTCATTGGTGGCAGGATAAGGTTAAGCCTCGTGCCATATGAGCCCTGTCAGGATTGTGACCATTCTCTGGGTTCATCTCTTGGCTTGTTGCCGGGCACCTAACGCTGTGGCAAGCCAGGCCTATTTCTTGTTTTTAGCACAACTCATCCTATGTCATACCTTTGTCCCTTGTAGGGACTCCATCAGGATTTACTGATTGTTAACATTTTGGGACATTTGCTTTGCTCAATGTCTTTGGGACATTGCTCTTCCTCTCTGTCTGTGTGCACATGTGTGAGTGTATGTGCAGTTGGGGGGCATCAGAGAGTCAGTTGTTTAGCATTAATATAATACCATTAGGCAAACTAAATTCATATTTCCCCAATTGTCCCAGTAATGAACTTTTATAACTTCTTGTTTTGTTTTCCCTGCTGTCTCATCTAATTGCCCCTTCCCCTTCCCCTGTTCTATGTCTGGTTTGCGGACTCTACCTCCTCGTTTCCACTCTAATTTTGGGAAGGGCAGAGTTTTCAAGCTGTACATCAAAACCCATTTCTCCTGCCAGAGCACAGAGCTTGACCTCATTCTGAGCTTCCCCTGAAGTTGGGTATGTGACCAAGTTCTGATGACAGTGAGGGGTGTAATCTTCAAAGTCAAGGTTTTGAAGAAGTAACGAGATCTCATCTGTGCTCCCTCCTTTTGCCAGCTGAATGCAGACAATGAAGACAAGAATCTAGAGAACAGTAGAGCCACAAGATAGAAGGAACCCTGGGTCCTCAAATCACTGGACAGAGGAAAGTGTCATGCCAACCTGGGACACCTGCCCTGGGTTGTTAGGTGAGTAGAAATACACGACTATTATGCTTAAGCCATTATACAGTTGTGGATCTATTGGGGACAGCAATCAATGTCACCAAAAGAGGTCAAAGATCTTCCCATGGCAAAGGGAATATATGGACCTTCTTACCCAGAACCTTTCACAGGGGAGAGAGAACAATGCAGGGAAGGCTTGGATGTCTCTGGTCAGGAAACAGGTAGTCCCAAGAGCTACTGCCCTGAGCCAGAGAAGGAGTAGCAGTAGATGCAGAAGCTCAGCCCACGGGAACTCCAACCCCAGGTCTCTAACTCTCTATCTTGTGTGTGTGCTTATGTCTAACCATGCCTTTGTGCAATGAGGAGTCCATTTCTAGTACCAGAGAAAGTAGTTCACACAGAGGCTTTTTATAAATGCAGAAGAACTAGCAAAATAGAGAAAATCCATAAAAGTTTGCTTTGACAATATGAAAGTAATATGAAAAAAATAATTACAGCCATTATGTGAACTTCTCATTTTGTCTAATTACCATGCAGCACAATAATAGGATTTATCATTGAATGTGTCATATTTGCTTTGTTGTTAGTTTATTTGATCACAGTGCCAAACTTTGTTCTTGAATGTACAACCTGCACTGTTTCTTCATGTTGTTGCTTACAGCTTAAATAACTAGAGGGAAACTTATCATCCTCCTGTCATAAACAGCTTTATGGTTGAGTAAAATATGAAAACATTTCATCAGTATTTACAGTTTTAGGTTTGTTAACTTTAATTTTCGACCATGTGGAATGAATTGGAAAGGTCCTAAGCAGTGAGACTGTTGCTAAACCAGAGATCTGAGGCTTTTGATGAATCCTTTGACCCCAGCAAAGTCTTGTTGCTTCATGCCATGTTCCTGGTCAGTCAAACAGGCTGGGATTTGCCAGGCAATCCAACTTTGCTTCCAAAACCTCAGCATCTCTGTGCATCTGATTAATTGCATATATTACTTGCAATATCACTTGTATATATTAAGCACATAATAATATAGCAGTGATGTTAAAGTGTTCTCGCAAAGCTTCTCTATATGAGCAGAAATGGAAAATATCACATTCCAACACCAGAGGATGCTGATAAAATAATAATAGCATCCGACACTTACTGGGCAGATACCACATGCCAGGCCTCGTGCTGTTTTACATCCTAATGAATCTTTATAGCAATCCCACGAGGGAAGTAGTGGTTCCACTTCCTCACCTGAATTTTGAGAGGATATGGAACTTCCCAAAGTCACAAAGTCTGGCTAACTTGGGGCTAACTCATAGGTGAGGTCAGGAACCTCGTTCATTTTCTCTAACTTCTCTTTGGCACTCTTTCTCCCTTAGTACATCCTGAGAAAATACAAGTCCTGGTTTGGGCAAAAGTGAGAGGAAGGAGAATTTGTGGTTAGTGCTCCCCACTGCTCACTGGAGATGTGAGTGGTATTGACATTGTTTTGGGGTGAGGTAGGAGAGCTCTCACTGCATCTGTTTCAACAATTCTATATTCAACAAATATATATTGTATTTAACATGTTATATGTAACAAATACATATATATGTATATATAACAAATATATGCACACATATATTAAAAAATATATACTGTGTCCTCGGTGCTCAGGGCAACCTTGTTCTCAACAAGCTTTTTATGAGATACTTGGGGAAGGCTGAGGAGCAAACAGACAATTACAATACACTGGGTAAGTGCTGTGATGAAAGAAGCCTAGGCCTCTGTGGAAACCTCTAACCCAAATTTGGGAGCAATTGGGGAAGGCTTCCTGGAGGAAGAGGCATCTATGCTGAGGCCTATAGGACAGGAGAGAATAAAACAGAAGAAAGAAGGCCAGAAAAGAGAGTTCTAGGCAGCAAATTATCATAGTGGTTTGGACCAGGAGGGACTGTTGCATGCAGCCTGTTGACAATAATACTGGCTTCACCAAATAAGCACTAAATAGCCCTTTCCAGAAAGTTCTCCCCTTTCTGCACCTGTGCCTGATTTTCTCAACATTGATCCATTAGCAAATATTTCTATCAATACACCAATTGGATATATTATTTACTACACAGAAGGCTTTGGGGGAGGCCTCTAGGAGAAGCCAAGAACTCTGAGACCCTGCCTCTATTTTCAAAGAGTTTAAGTGAGTGTGCATTTCAAATATTCTCAAGAAAAAGAGAACAAGAGAGAATGTTAATAGTAATGCGACATTAAAGGAGGAAGAAGAAAGATGGGAGGATGAAACACTGGCCTCTGGCTTTTAGACCCTGACTCAGCCACACTCACTCACTATGCCAGCACGCATGGGCTGCAGCCTTCCGGAGCCTCAGCTCCCCATCCATCAAACTAGAATAATAAAAGGTCCCTTTCAGAATGACAGCAGGGATTAAATAGGGATTGCCTGTACAGCATTTAACCTGCTGCTCAGCACAGAGCAAGCTCTTGAGAAATGTTTTAGACATGATGATATTATTATAATTATAATTAATTCGCCCCATCAATACGTGAGTGCCTCCCCCATGATACCTTTTGTGCTTTTATATTTCAGAACTTCTGATCACAGGCCACACCAGCCATCACCCTGACACCTGACTCCCCTTTGCCCACTGGATTACTCTACCTTCACATCCTTGGCATCTGGCCAAAGAATTGTAAGTCGGGAGCTCTGGGGAAGTTGGTTTGCCGGTCCCACAAGCCGTCCTCAGAGTCTCCTGGGCACCTCCCTAAATCTCACTGCACAGATTACTCTCTCCCAACCACTTGCAGCCCTTCTGTCCTTACTTGGCCATTAATTGTATATCATCCACTGACATCTTTTACCATGGTCTAATATATTTGTATTTATTCTTGATTCTACAAATGCCTAACCTTTGCTAAGTCCATACTATGTGCTGGCCTCACTTAACGATGGTCTTGCTTAGGGGATAGAATATTATTAAATTGGGTTGAAACATCCAGTCCTAAACTGTTATGGAGTATGTGCTCAAATAGAATCAGTAACCAAAAACATATTTTTTTTAAAAAAAGCTAAGATCTAATCCATCAATTACCCATTAAGAAACAAGGAAAGACTTAGGTGAGAGTTTTGAAATAACAACACTAAAAACAACTCTTATTTATTTGTTTATTTAATTGATGGGTGATGTTGAGGATGTCTCCTGCACCTTTTAAACCCTGTACCTGGGAAAACTGGAGCACCACTAGAAGAGGCAAGAGAATGATGGGGAGAGCAGGTTTGATGGTCATGGAGAGACATGGTAGGTTTGAAGTTGTAGACAAGTTCATTTCAAGGCCATGGTAGGCCATGCAAGTGAAAAAGTCCAGTCAAGCAGCTGGCAATTTGGGAATGGAGTTGAAAAGAGAGGACAGAGCAGAAGTAGATGCGGACATCCTTTCCAGAGGGAATGGCCACACTTTAAATAGAAGGCTTCTGGCATCAGAAGTCCAAGGAAGGGGTACACATTTACCAGGGTGAGTAACACATCACCAGGCCAACTTGCACTTTTTTGCCCAACTTGGAGAAAACTGGCTGAGACCCAAGAGGTCTGGGGCTACAGTCCCAGGGGCTTACTTTTAAATTTTCCTATCCTGTCTTTAAACATCATGTGAATTTTCCATTCCACTCCATGCTACCTAAATAAGATTTTAACTTACTTTTGAGTAAGTGACTCTGCTGGATGACAGGCAGCATTTAGCCTATGGCTTCACATAGGAAAAATTATCCCAGACATACTTGCATAAAAGGGAGCTCACACTGCAACTTGAAAAAGCAAGGCATTCAGCAAGGAGCCAAGTGTTTTCTTTCTTTTTTTTTTTTTTTTTTGGCAGGAATCAAATCATGGGATTGGCTAGCCAACTAACAGGACAAGCATGGGAGTGAGTGCGACCCCAGACAGGGAAGTTTTGATGAGGATGAGATCATCAGGAAAAGTCTGGCTGATGAAAGGGTATATAGTCAAGGGGACTGCCTGGGTGACATCAGGTCTTGGGACCTTACTGGATGGAATGGGACCTCAGAAGGTAGAACAAAGTGTCGGGAATCTGGGTCTTGGCCATATTATTGACCATGAGTGGAAGGACAGGGAGGATGCTTCAGGCTGGGCCATCAGAGCACTGTTTGATTTGGGGCTCTATGAACCAAGGACTCTGGAAGGTTCCCTGCAGGGCCACTAACAGGCTGAGATTTCTTTCCAGACTGGAAGCAGATTGCCAGAGCTTCAGTCCCATGGCATATTTCACTGACAGATTGGGTGCAATCTTCCCCAAGATGGGGGTGTTTCAAAAGCAGAGGAGGAAAAGGAGGCTGGGAGCAGGGACAAGGTGGGGGAAGACAGCTGTCAGCTTCAGTGTGACTTTAGGACAGTTCTTGCAGATGTGGGCAGAGCAACAACTGCCAATTCTCTGAGCCTCTGGCAATTTACCAAACCTGGGGATGGGTGGGGGGAGGAGGGAGGGAGGCACAATGCAGATTCCGCAACAGGATCCTGAGGGGCTTCAGGACACAGAGCCTACCTAGCCTCAGCATGGGTTTGCTGTGTGTGCAAAAGGAACATCTCTCCTTGCACTAAATTAAACCAATTTGATCAAAATTTGTAATGCAGAAGAGCATAATTAAATTGAAGATTTTAATTAGGCACAGTTTTGATGAAACTTAACGGAGCCGGCAGGAATACTCTTGCTGTCTATTAGGCATAATCCTGCCTGGTGAAGAGCTCTTTAGTTGACTGTCTTTAATGACTGCCCAGCACTCAGCCTCCTCCCTGGTACTCCAGCCAGCCTGGAGGAGATGGGGAAGTGAGAAGGGCCTGGGGGGATGGAGGACTGGGGTATGCATCTGCGGGGTGGCAGCTTTTTAAAGGAATGTTGGTGCTAAACTTTGGGGGTACCCAATTATCCCCTTTACATCTGTCATGGTGGAGAAATGGTGCAGAATGATGTTGAGGGCTGTTTCACAGTAATGAGTCAGGAAGGAGAGGACAGGGCTCCCTGCGGCCTGAGAGGCACCTCTGCCGGCCTTCCTGGCTAATTGCTCGCGCCTCTCAGTGTCACTTCACAGAGCTAGAATCTTCCACTGGCCTCCCGGCAGAAAAGCCAGAAAGAAGGCCTCTGGGGGTAGAGATCTGGGAAGAGCCCTCAGCCTGTCTGCCTGGACTTTCATAAACACCGCTTCGCCGAAAGAATGAAGGGATGAGCCGAGCAATACATGAAGAGGCGATTCACCCTAGAACTCTGCTGACAAAGAGCAGGAGTTAAAAATACTGGGCATGGCTGCTGCCTTTTTACAAAGAGTGCCTGGGCTTCAAAGAGAAATGATCCCTTCCTTCCTCATCTTTCCCTTTTCCTTCTTTTATCCAATTGATGTTTATGGAGCCTCACTGCAGCAAGCGCTCTCCTAGGCACTGCACATTTTATGGCGAATATGTAAGAGTCCTAGTTCTCTGCCCTTCTGGAGCTAACAGACTAGTGGGAGAGACAGGCTACACATTTAGGAATTAGGAGAAGCTCTGTGGAGGAGCTTACTCTGGATCGGGCCAGGGATCAGCAAACCGTAGCCGGGGGGAGAGGGGCAAATTTGCCTGTTGCCTATGGTTGTGAATAGATTTTTACTGGGACACAGCATCTCCTGTTCGTTTGCATTTTGTCTGTGGCTCCTTTTGCTTCAAAAGCAGAGTTGAGTAGTTGTGACAGAGACCTTATGTCCTGTGCAGCCTAATATTTATTTTCTGGCTCCTGAAGGAAAATGTGTGTCGACTCTGGCTTTGATGGTCAGGGGAGGCCTCTCGAGAAGGTGAGTTTTAGCTCAGACCTGAAAGTGAAGGTAGCTGTGTGAGGAGTTCCATGCAGCAGGAAGAACAGGAGTGGTGGCCCCACAGCAGGGAGGAGTTGGTGTGTTCGAGGACCTGGGAGAAGGTCTGTTTGATTGGACAGTGGTGATGGAAGCAATGGGCCTAGACAAGTTACAAGAGGAGACAGGGCCATTTCACCCTGAACCTTACCATTTCAGATCCTGGGAAGGGATGTGGATGTGAATCTAAGTGCTCCAGGAAGCCCCTCGAGGGTTTTAAGCAGAGAGGTGATGCGCTGTAATTTTTAAAGAGCCCTCTGGCCCTGCTGGTCAGAGGTGCTTGAAGAAGAAACCATCCCTGCCCTGGTTCGATAAAGCAAGAAATGGTGGCAGCTTGGATCAAGGTCACATGGGCAGAGGTGAAGAGTTATGGGCAGATCTGGAATACATTTGGGAGATAAAATGGACAGGGTTTAGAAATAAGTGAAGTGGTAAAGGAGGTAGGAGAGAGAAAGGTCAAAGATGATCCTACCCAGCCTTTTTGGCTGGAGGGACGAGGGGAATGGTGATACCATTGGCTGAGGTGGAGAAGATTGAAGTTGGGAGAGGAGAAGCCTGGGTGGCATGATTTAAGAGTTCAGTAATTTTATCGTCCACAAAATTGATATTCGTGTGAGACTACAAGTAGAGATGACAGAGAGACCGTAGGATATATGACCCTGAAGTGCAGATGAGAGGCCCAGGCTGAAGATAAAAATTTGTGAGTCATCGGCATATAGATGGTATTTAAGCAACGGGGTTGGATGAGCTCACCTAGGGTGGGAGGCAGAGAGAAAAGGAAAGAGCACCCATAGCTGATGATTTTATGCAGACTGCTTAGCTTTAGTTTGGCCTGTTACTCATTGATATTTATCAAAGCATGAGGCTGAGGGTAAATTACTGAAGAGACTTAATTAAGGAATATGCTCAAAGAAATGCCATGAATTATTCTGAAGCATATGCAGCTATTCTCAGATGATCCCCCGCCCTTCGCAAAGGGGTAGCAAATGAAGAGCCTTACTTCCCTTTATATAAAGAAAATAAAAGTATTGTTTGAATGGTTTTCTTTTCTAAGCATTTATATGTCCTTCTTCAAGCTGACTGGTGGTTGAGTTGTTGTTTAAAGTGGTGGTTCTCGGGATCCCTGGGTGGCTCAGCAGTTTAGTGCCTGCCTTTGGCCCAAGGCGTGATCCTGGAGTCCTGGGATCGAGTCCCACGTCAGGCTCCCTGCATGGAGCCTGCTTCTCCCTCTGCCTGTGTCTCTGCCTCTCTCTCTGTCTCTGTGTCTCTCATGAATAAATAAATAAAATCTTAAAAATAAATAAATAAATAAATAAATAAATAAATAAATAAATAAATAAATAAATAAAGTGGTGGTTCTCAATCACAGCTTCCTAGCAGAGTCATCTGACCGGCTGGTTTAAACAATGGGTTCCCTGGATTCCTACTTACAGTGATGTGCAGGTCTGGGTAAGGTCCTTTGCCCTACCCAAAGAACGATATCTTCTGAACTAACAAGGATCTACATTTGTGAGGTTGGGGTAAGATAAAAATATTGTGTTCATACACAAAACAAAATCATTGAGTTACCATATTCCTTCTTCCTTCCTCTTCCTTCTCTTTCTCAACACCTACTGAGGCATCATGATCTTAGTTCCTAAAAATACTTCAATCAACACACATATATATACAACACTCACACATATGCATACAATGTCTTTCTCTTTCTGTCTCCTTCTTGTACATATTCATACCCATCCATGTGCACAGGCATGCACACACACATACACACACACACACTCTATGTGTCTTTGTCAGTGATGCCTTGGTTCAGGTCCTTGGCAACTCTCAATCAAGCTCTATGAGTTTCCTAATCAAGGTTCTTAACTGCTATCTGCTAGTCCAGTCAACACCAACTGTAGCCCATCTGCCAAATTGCCACTGGAGTTATCTTTTACAAACCAAATCTGATTCCTCAAGCTCTACCTTGTGAAAAAAACCTTCTGTTTGGCTCCTCATTGCCTATTGGAAGAGATCCAAACCCCTAGTCATGGCATTCAGTGACTGATCTCCCTTGTGAGCAAGGCTTCTCCCATTCCTAATACCAGTTCACTCCAGTTCACTACCCATCCACACTTACCCATATACTCCAGCCCATTCACACCTGTCCCTTCACATTTGCTCAAGCATATCTGCCCCTCTACACCTGTGTATCTACACCTGTCCACGCACACTCGCCCATGTTACACTTATCTATTCATACCTGCTCCCAAACACCTGTCCATACACAACACCATGTCTTGGTCTGAAATTCATTTATTCCTGTCAGTCCCTGGTTAACTCATACTCATCCTGAGTGAAGATCCATCTCAGATGTTCCTTTCACTCTAAAGTCTCCCTTGGCTCCAAAGGCAGCAACATGGCACTTTCCCCCTTGTTTTCAAAGTAGCAATTTGCACATATTTTGACTGAAACATTTACCATATTGCATTGTGACTGTTTCTTTCTCACCAAGCCCCAATTCCTAAATCAGACTGTGCAACTATTCATCTTTAGCAATAATGCTTAGCTCAAAGCCACGCTTAACTCAAGGCCTGGAGAAATGCACTGACGAATTTTCCTCCCTCTCACCTTGCTCTCAGGCTCCCAGTAAGGGGAGTTCTTGAGGTTGATCATTGTGCCTGTCATAGTAGTTCATCTTCCATCTTCAATTTGTTGGAGTATTGGAAAACAGACTGCTGGGTTTCTCAGAATTTTGTGAAAACCAAGAGTTAATGGGTTCCTGGAGAGTACCAGAGTAACTCTTTGAGTAAAGTGTTTCAGCTTTAATGCATTGTCTTCCTGCCATCTCATATCTCACTTTCTTCTAGGTTCTTCCTTGTGTTCTGGTGACTTAGACTTCTGCATACCCATCTTTACACAGTCAGGAAGTGTCTATTAGGCACACACCAAGTAGAACCACACTGTTCATTGTCTTTATTGCCAAAAATCAAAATTGAGAACAATGTAGATGAGAGGCCGTGAAAATACCCAGTAGGTGTCCTTAACCTAGAGCCCACAGATGGACTTCAGGCAAGCCATGAGTCCTTGCTATGTTGTATATGACATATATGTACATATATTCTTCTGGCGATAAGTTTCCTAAGTTTTATAAGATTCCCAAAGGGCCCTGAGACCTATAGAGTTAAGACCTACTAACTTAGAAAATATTTTGGGATCTTTCTTTTTTAATGTCCATCCTTAAACTTAGCATGCAAATCTAAAAAGGCCGTGGGAATGTGAATTATTTCGATGCTATATGTGGACATCTTTGTCCTCTGATCTTTTCCAGCATCTCCAGACTTGCTTCCTTCACCTTTTATTTTGGCCTCTCAGGAGAGAGCAAGACAGTATCATTTCTAATGAGTCTTGTAAATAAACCTGGCTTCTGCTGTATTAGATCACTGTAAAACAATTCCCTGAGGCCCAAGGGATTAAATAATAGAAGAAAATGCTTTCCACTAAACCAGGCAGATGATAGAAAATATTCTTGCTACAGT